TAGAACTGCTTTCATTGTGTCCCACAGATTCCTGTATGTTGTACTGGCATTTTCATTTACGTGTAGAAACTGTCTAATTTCTTCTTTAATTTCCTCTGTGACCCATTGATTGTTCAGGAGGGTGTTGTTCAATTTCCATGTGTTTGTGGGTGTTTTGCGGTTTCTCATGTTATTGATCTCCAATTGTATTGCCTTTTTTCGTGCAGGGGATCGAACTCGGGACCTTGCACTTGCGAGGCCGGCGCCGGAACCACTAAGCTAAATCCCCGCGCTCTCCAATTGTATTGCACTATGGTCTGATAATATACAGGGGATAACTTCTATTCTTTTACATTTACTTAGATATGTCCTATGAGCTAGCATGTGATCTATTTTGGAGAATGACCCATGTGCAGCTGAAAAGAATGTGTATTCTGATTTTGTGGGGTCTTCCCAAGTCTTTAATGGTTTCCCTGCTTTCCAGTATAAGCCACTGTAGCAGACCCTACCTTTTCTGCTCTCCAGACTCCCATCAGCACTGCCCTATCAACCTTCACCAGAGACAAACTGGAGCTGTTCCTTCATGAAGCCAGTGAATAGTCCTTGGGCACCCACTACATGTCAGGCCCTAGGAAAGATGATAAGACAATGTCTAGGTTTCAACTGAAGGCCCCAGTAGAAAGAAGCACCATCCTAGACATCACAGGATTGAGAAAGATTTTAGATACTCAATGGAAATGAAAAGTCAGCAGAGGAGTTATGAAAGCCTCTGGGATTTCATTGTCCCCAGACAAGTATGCTCATCTCCAACTACATGGAGAAGAAAGATTTCTAGACCAAGACCTGTTTTCCCTCCCAATGCAATAGAAAAAGCTGAGGCTCCTTCCTCCAGGTTCCTCCCAACTCCAGGCCACCCCATGCTCCCAAATGCCCAGCAGTGCTGAAGACACAGAGTACTTGCTCAGGCAGTGACTCAGTTGAGTGCACACAGATAATCATTTTTTTTTCAGGGGAGATCATTGGAGGACATGAAGCCAAACCCCACTCCCGCCCTTACATGGCCTACCTTCAGATCTGGAGTAAGAATTCTCAAAAGAAGTGTGGTGGCTTCCTGATACAAGAGAAGTTTGTGTTGACAGCTGCTCACTGTTTAGGGAGGTGAGTAACAAAAAAAAAAGCCCATAGTCTCTAGGAAACATTTCTCAGAAACCCTTCTTCCCAACGAGCTCTGGTGGCATGCATGTAGGAGACTCCTTATGGGAAAGAAATAGCCAGCCAGCAGTGTCTCATGTGGAAGCAAGAAAGTTGGCACCTGAGGAATTGCTGACATAAGAAAGAGCAGGGTGATCAAGCCTCATTGTTCAGATCCAGGAGCATGCTTTGGCATAGTAATAAAGTATAGTAATTCCATGTGTTTTTGGAGGTAACTGACCCCTGAGAATCTCTGGTGCCCAAAGCACAAGATCTCAGCCTCAATTAATAAGAAGTAGAGGGCACATTCACTTGGCCAGGTGGCCCTGCTGTCATCTTCAGCTCCACATTGTACCAGCTGTAGCCTGCTCTCTATAGCTCCTGGGATGTGTTCTCTGGGGCTTCATACCTGTCACCCACTCCCCTCTCTGTGCAGCACAATAAATGTCACCTTGGGGGCCCACAACATCAAGAAACTGGAAAAGACCCAGCAGGTCATCACTGTGAGAAAAGCCATTCCACACCCAGACTATAATTCTATAATCTTCTCCAATGATATCATGCTGCTGCAGGTAAGGCACACCTCCCTGCTGCTCTTGCTCTCCTTGTGCAGGGATGCCCCTTTCACCTGAGACCCTGCCCCTTCCTTCTTTGTCATTATGTCCATCACAGCATCCAGGCCCAGAAGGCCTATGCTGATCTGGACTCTTACTTCTTTCCCATCAGCTGGAGAAAAAGGCCAAGCTGACTAAAGATGTGCAGCCCCTCAGCCTGCCCAAGGCCAAGTCCCAGGTGAAGCCAGGTTCACTGTGCCACGTGGCTGGATGGGGACGGTTGGTCCCAGAGGGAGAATATCCAAGCACACTTCAGGAGGCAGGGGTGACAGTGCAGAAGGACCAGGAGTGTGAGACCTGCTTTAAAACCCATTACAACAGTATCACTGAGATGTGTGTGGGAGACCCAAAGGTTAAAAATGCTTCCTTTAAGGTAAGACTAGACATCTATCACTCTTGGCTTTGAGGGGAAGGGTTTTGGGGAAAGATCTGAAATGAGGAGACACAAGAGTCAGGGTTACACTGAGTAATCTTCTCACTCTCTATTTATAGGGTGACTCTGGAGGCCCCCTAGTGTGTAATAATGTGGCCCAGGGCATTGTCTCCTATGGAAGAAAGGATGGGACAACTCCATGTGTCTACACCAAAATCTCACATTTTCTACAATGGATAAAGAAAACCATGAAACAACACAGACTGCAGGGAGCAAATTAAGCCCCTTGTGTGATCAAACATCTTTCCTGGAGCTAAGTCTAGAATTGCACTAGAGCAGATGCCAGCAAATAAATACATATCTCAATTCAGTGAGAAGGGTGGTTTCTAGTTTGTTCACTGACTTTCACAGGGACGAACTCTGTGTTAGGCAGGCCAGCGACACAGTTCTGCTGATTTCTGCCTCCTTCCTTCCTTCTCCACTCAATACCTTTCCAAATACCCACAGAAAGCTGTTAAGCAGCTCCTTCTTAACCACTTTAGTTTCACCAGAGAATGCTCTCCTGGGAAGGCTGAAACTAAGCACCATCAGAAGAAAATGTGGACAGCTCTTGTCATGGTGCTCAGGTTGAACATGTTACCTCTATACATGCTATATGACAGAGGGGAAGGGGGATAATTTCATGGGTCTTAAAGATCATTCAGGCACCACTGAGGTCACTACTTAGGGACATAGCACCATCACGATGGATAGGGGAAGGGTCTTCCTGAACAGGACATTTCTCTTGCACAGCTTTAGGGATAAAGGTGGGGTTGGGGTTATTCTGAGTGGCTCTTCCTCCTCACCTGAAATTAGTTTCTTTCTCCTTTCTTCTCTAGAAACAAGGATAACCTTGGCTTACAGCCTCCTGGCTGCCCATTCTTCTTCATCTCTCCTCAGAGTTGTCACAGTCTACCAAATCCTGTCCTATCTGTGTCACAGTGATTTTATGTGGTTCCTTCCTCAAATCCTCCCACCTAAGACACATGTGGTTCCATGCTAGGCCCATGGAGGACAAGGCTGGCAGGATCTTTCTCCAGAACCCTTGGCCCCACTTCTCACTTGGCAGGGCCCCTCACCCTTAAGTGTCCACCTAAATGCTCAAGGGCCATTGGTCAGTGACCAATTAGAGCCCCTTTCAGCATATCCCTGTTGATCACTGCAGCCCTCAAAACTAAGATTCCCTGGGGAATCCTGGGCTATACCAGGCTTATAAGTTAAAAGGGCTCCTTTCTGCAGAAGGACAGGAAAGCACAACAGTTTCCTACAATCTGTACACAAATACTCCCTGAGTGCTTACTAAGTGCCAGGCCTTAGGGATCTATAGTAAACTAAATATTAAAGCCCAGTGAGACTAACAGTGATAAAGACTTTCCCAATTAATTCTCTCTCTATCCTTCAGATTAGTCCATAAAGCCTAGAATATGTGGAAAATCTATAGAAATAAAATATCTCATTTTTATTTGTGGTTACAGTTTGTATCAGTATTATCACATAACACTCCAGAAGTGTGTGAGATTTAGAAATGACCTTAGTTATTTAGTTTCCAGACATGAAGTTGGTAAATGATTCACCAGAGGACCTTTTCGTGTGAAGAGGGCAGCATTAGGTAAGAAGATAATGAGAGCAACAGTATTTTTATTTGTTTTAAAAATAACAGATATGAAAGTTATTGTACAAATTGAAATTGTAGAAAGCACACATATCTAATCAGCCTGGGGAGAACCATAATCCCTGTCAATACTACGGTGCCTGCCTCTGCAGAATCACACTTGGATCATGGAGGCTGTCACACTCTGGGGAAATGGATAAATGCCTGTAGTATTTAGCTCATCATGGTTATTCCTGCATCCATAGTTTCTAACGTTACCCAGGCTTCTCTTTGTTGGGAAGTTCTTGGCGTAGAGGACACAAAGTGTGTGGCTTTTTGATAAATAAATGTCTCCCTTGGTTTGGTACTCACCTTGCCCAACACTCCTAGCAGCCCTTGCTGCAGGGTCAGGTCACTATGAAGCTGAGGTGACACTGTGTGGCAGAATTTTGCTCTAAGTTAATGCTTCTCTGTCCCAAACATACACAATACTACATTCTTTTGTGACACAGTGTAAAATCTCCCTCTGACACCATGTAATTCCCACAAGTATACCCTTTCCCATCTTGTGCACAAATCATGTTATATCACAATCTCATAATATCTTGGGCTGTTTGCAAGGGGAAATCAGCTTCTGGTTTGGGACTGAAAACACAAATTCCTGCACCTAAGACCTACTAAGGATCTGGCTCCTTCCTTGGGGAAACAAAAAGGAAAATGCAGAAAGCCAAACCAAAAACTCTTTTTAAAAGTTGCCCAATCATATACATATATATTCAAGTGTTATATTTACCTTGAGGAAATGGATCTGTACTTTAAAATGTCTTTGAAAACCCATTGTTGTAGATTGGTCCTCATCCTCCCCTAATACAAGAGGAAGAAACAGATTTCCAGAAAAAGATAGAGACTGACCAAAGACATCACAAAACTGAGGACAGAGCCTGGATAGAGTCAGGTCCCCTAACCACCAGGCCAGCAAGTGGTCTTAATCTTCTAACTCCCAGCCTGTGGAGATTTGTCAGCATCTCCAGATAAAAGATGACATTTTGCTTAGAAATCTCCATGGAGAGGAAGCCTCTGGGCTCTTCCTGCAGCCATTGGGTGAGAAGCGTTAAACAGCCACCATTTGCAGAGTGGAAATCTCCTCACAGCCATATTTGAGTGGACTCAGAGGCGGGTAAGTGCCTTCAACACACTGCTTGCTTCAATCTCCCTTGTATGTGGAAATACTTCCCAATCTTCACCATGTGGAGGGAAAAAAGTATTTCCCCTTGCTTAAAGTCTCTGTAATGAAAAGAAAATGTTTCAAGTTAGCATAACTGACTCCTTCTGTCTCACCTTCCTCCAGGCCCACTGCAAGAATCCAGTCCTGGTACCACCTGGCAGACAACTGCAAGTTGGGCCCTGGAGGACGTATCCCAAAGGGATGCGAGATCTTGCTGATTTGTTTTGGGGAATATATACTAGTGTGACTCTGTTTTCCCATACCAAGACCATAGTTCTGCCAGAACCACTCTTGTGGTCTTAAAGAATGTATATGTTTTCTTTCCTGTTTTGTTATTCCATAAGCCACTGCTTAGAGCAACACACAGATTTCATCATGAGAGATGTGGTTTCTGTGCCATTTTACCCAGAAGCAGGTGGACTGAGAGAATGTGGAATAACTTACTGAAGACTAAACCACAACAACAAGCTGAGAGACACTGATCTTGGAAATTGGGATGCTGTCCTACTGGATATAGTATATACTTTAAGCCACCAATGAAGATAGGATATTTTCTCCCCATAGCTGGAATACATGGATCCAGAATTAAAAGAGCAGAGTAGGGGTTGGCCCTCCACTTATTACCTAATGACTCACCCTCAAGAGTTTTTGCCTCTGTCTCCACAATCTGGGGCTTTACTGATCTATTGGTCTTCATTCCTGGAAAAGGAGTCAGCCATCATGAGCTCAAATGGGTCACTACACTAGGTACATGATTGATCCTGATGTCTAAGGGAAGATAGGATTCACTGAATTGCCAGTGACAAGTAATGAAAGTCAATGGAGGACTATCAAAATGACATCCTGACTTCACCAGGCTGCCAGGCTAGGAAAACTAAGTTGAGATCTACCTATTTGTAAGTTTGACTATCTACAAGGCAAAGTAGTGAAAGTTTGCATTGTGACATAGATGTGAACTCTTTGACATAATATTTTAAATTTCTTAGCTTGTTTCTTATCTCCAAGTGTAGTTAGTAACAGGTAGCTCAGGGCTACCTGAGGGCTTTTATACAACATAACATATGTAAAGTAGCTGCTGTGTTCTCTGGAGTAGAGTAAGAAATGAATAAATATTAATTCGCATTGCTCTCACCATGTGTTACTTTTTCATACCAGGATTTATGTAAAAACTACTAGTTTTTGCATGAAAGTTAATTATTCTATTAAGAAATACTTGTAAATAT